CTGGGCCATTTAGCAGAAAAGTCGGAAAATGTATAAATAAAAATGAAAGAGGCACCCAAGGAAAGTCATCGCGCGAGAGATCTCGGCGAGACGTCGCTTAATTTAACGACGATGAATCCGTTGTCCCAGGGTGGCCGTTTTATACAAGGTGGCCAGTTTATACTGTAGACTGGAAATAACTCCCTCGTAAGCGATATGATCTTGCTGAGGTCGCTCGCTCGGGATAAGTTAAAATAGCGCTATACAATAGCTTGAAATTTCTTCTGAAAAGTGGAATAATTAATATAAAAAATTTGAAAACTTATTTATACGATACTTTCAAGAAACGTTAATTTTCAAAAATTTTTATAAAAATTTTATAAATTGTACTGCAGCATAAGTGTAGTATAAAGGGAAAGAATATGTTTTAGCTTTGTAGGTTTTATCGTAAAAAATTTTACTGTGATTAGAAATTTTTTAACCGTGCTGCTTTTAGTATGCCGTGATCATAATTTGTTAGGATACCTTTTTTTTTCGTGAGATAAGCCTATGTTTCTGACGCGCGTTTTATATAAGCGCGCGATACATAAACGCGTTCCGTTCGCAAAATCCATCGGGCTTATGATAATCTTCGACATCATTTTCACACACATACATACATTGCGTCAGTCATATATTTATTCGCCAGCAATATATAAACACGCGGTCTTTGTTGGCGAGGGCGAAGGAACTCTCAAGCATCGGGATCAAGGAACTCGACCCTTTTCTCGCTCGGATAAAGTATCTCCCATTTCCCTCCTCTCTATTTCGTGTTTATGCATTTTCCTTAAAACGTGGCCGTTTCTTCTGTCGGATTAGTATACGCGTAGACTAACACATTTAGTGAAATTAACACTCCCGAAAATATTTCTTAAAGAAATTAATAGCATGATTCATACAATTTTACCAACTACGTTCTCCGAATTGTATTATTTCGTGAAAGATTTATCAAATAGTATTATCTCTTTTTTAAAGAATGATATTGCTATAATACGCTCAAGTTTTTTAAGCTTTGTTTATGTACGCTATTGCACACTCGTGCGGAATGTTGGGAATTTTCCGGCAAACTATGTGCCAAAAAAAGGAGCAGTTTCGCGTAAAACGAATGGCCGGATTTTTTTCTACGAAAATTGTTCTCCGTGTTTCGCGTAAATCGGGAAGTAGCTTGTGGACTTTTCCGTGGCACGGAGGTCCTCTCGGCGGATAAAGCCAACGCGATTATAAAGGAAAAGTCCTGGGGATATACCCGCGGTTTACGGAGCCGGAACGAAAGTCGACTTTATATACCGCTTCTGCCGCCACCCTCGTGCATACAGGGTGGACACAATTCTGTTTGAGAACTTGCATCAAACCCCCTGTTGTTTACATTTTTAATTCAATATTCTACGCCTCCACCATCTCCGGTGTCAAAGGGACGCGATATTAATCTGATTGCGTCCGTTTTTAAACAGAGATTGCAGAGGCTTCGTTATTAATTTTTTTTTAAATGTAATACTGAATTTTTTAGATAGCTTATTAATTCTTATTACTTCTTACATTTTTTCCAAACCGTTGGTTATATGCGTACTCCTCTCATTTTTCCTTACCTCGTTTTCTCGTATTATCTCTCAGATCCTTCGATACACATTCTTTGGAGTGCTTGTAAAAAGGAGGAAAATAAAAATCACAAAATTCTTATCCACTTTTCTATATCTATATCTTTCGGCTTCGACGATGCTGGTTTCATGAAGCCTTTTACTCTCTCAAATTTACACGCATGTATTTGTTAAAAAAAAAAAATACTGAACATATTCTGCCGGTATAAATATACATTTTGCAAGTGATAATAAACTTTTGTATATTTTTGATGAAGTTCTCCTTTAGGAAAATTCCCTCGGTGGTTCAAAAGAACGTGCAGAGTTTATAGCTACTGCACGCTCGAAGAGGTTAATATTAAGAGCGCATTTATATGTACGCGTCGTTTCTTTTCCTCGTCTCCTTTCTTTTTGTAGTATCATCTCGAATCGTTGGTGATTCGATTTTCTCTAACGGCGATGTCGCGAGTTTTGAAGAAGGCCTATTATCATTACGTATAATTATTTAAAGATTGATGAAGACAATGAGGCATATTATATAAAATATTTCAGAATATTTTCACAACTTAATAAAATACTTTTGTTTCAGTAGATTAAGAAAATATACTATGTAGAACATGTACATAGAAATTATAATTCATTGATGTATGAAGCATTCTTTCCGGATGATATAAGATGCTATATATATGTTCTAGATAGCTTCTAATACACTTTGAGGACTGAAATAAACCTGCGCTCTCCGTATAATTTCGTTGACATGAAACGTATACTAGATCCGACATATTTTTAATAAAGGAATGTTTATTATTTTTTTTACGATCAAATTTTAAACGGATTTTTATTGACAGATTTATAAATTTCTTCACGAGTGTTACAAGCGAAAAGCGTAAAAATAACTTTTAAAAATGGCAAACATAGTTACGCGAACTAACTTTTAATTCGCCGAACAATAATCACCGGTTGGGAAATTGCTTAAAAATAAATTGGAGCAAGGTGCGTTCGCTTAATGGTCTGTTGGCGAGTTGAAAAAAATAATTGTTCAGACTGTGCGGCCTGGTTAACCTAAAAAACCTAAAAAAAACAGAAACTGCGAATTTTATTAAACCGAGTTGCATGCTGTAATTTATAAATCGAGCGTGTTTTTTGCACGGTTGCACAACGTTTTTAATCTTCATTCAAATTCGAATGAATATTACGCGTGTACATTCGCGATTTGTGCACGTTCGTGTATTTTTTTTTTTTTTTAAGTAAAAACAAACTGTCGGAGGTAAGATTCTTTTCGTTTTCCTAAATAAAATATGTATCACATTGAGAATACGCTTTTCTTCACTCTTGTCTCAACTTATCGCGGACTCTTCTTTAGCAAAAAAGTGAAATCGTCTAACGAGAGAGGATTCGTTGCAGAAAAATGTTTTAATCCTTTAATTGTTGTCGAGGCCTGGGAGGATCTTATTAGAGCCGCCTCTCACAATCACGGAACAGTCCTTAAAGAACAATCCTTATCAATACGCTATTATGCACGACGGTGCCCGTAATGACCGTTTTCTTTCGGTATCGTTAAGAAACTGTGCAATTCATCTTTTCTTGCGTTTCGAGTCCGACTAATTGACGACAAAGACGAGCTCCTTAGCTCCGGCGTATCGTTACGACGGAAGGGATAAATATATATGAAAATAGTGCGCCTGCAATTGAAGCACGTTCTGTGTTCGTTATTACCGGCTTCTATTTAACTTTCCAGTTGCCTGCTTCATCCTTCGGGAACAGATTCCCTCCGCTAAGAACCTCAAAATATTCAGTGATTGTACATACGTAAGATAGAAATGCGATGTTTGTCTTCTAATCATTTTTTTGAGATTTTTGTGAAAAATTAGGGATTTTTGTGCATTTTTAATTTTATGTTATAAAAATTTATTTTTATAACTTGGATAAGACAGATTTCTATCTGCATGGAAATAACTTACTATTAAACGGAATATTCCTTGTTGTTTATTTCATACATCAATCTCATAGATCGAAAGACATGTAATTAATATGACAAATGGCGAATTTAAAATATCTTTTATGTATAAGTTTGTTTTAATAATTTGGTCAATTACTGTATTGGTTATATAAATTATGCTTAATTATTTCTTACGCGGTTGCGTTGCGGTTGCGGTGGTAATTTTGACGCTTATCATTATGTGCGGAACGTTGCATCGCGAGTGCAGCGTGTTAAAGTGGGTTTCGCGAAGTAGTTTGGACCGCAAACTCGAGATGTTCCAGCGGATATCCACGCCGGATAAATTACAGGTTAAATTATATAATCGGATCCCCGCTGAGAGATTAAGGCAGAAAGTAGTGTCCGATGTCGAAATGTTTATTAATTAATCTGAATTAGCGATCGAAAGGTTTGACAATTTTTTCATTCCTCACGATTATCTAAAATGTCTCAGCATTACAAATAACATTAATGAAAATTGTTTTCATTTCTAATCGATATATTACGTAGTGAATGTCTAATGCATCAAACAGTTCTTTCGCGAGAGCTTTGCACCTGGGGATGGGAGGAGAGAGCCTTTCTCGCTTTATTGCTATTACAAAAAACAATAAAAACCTCGAAATCGCGACGCTGTATTAGCGAACATAACAGCACCGTCAGCCTGAGCCTCTAAATCAACTCGACCTTCCTTGCCTCTTGCCACGTGGCAGAAGACAAACGCCGGGGTATCTTTCTCTCACGAGCAGGAGGAAATTTCACTCCTGGCGCGTACTTACGAATTAGCCACACCCCTTAACATCCGACCAACTTTCCCTGCCTGACGTGCGCGACTTGTCACCTCGCCATCGATTCTCGTTCCTTCTTGATTTTTGTCGCGTGCGCGGATCCATGTTTCATCCCCGTCCGTTCCTCTCGTGTACCTATATGTGCTAAGGGCGAGGGGAGAGAAGCGAGAAGAGAGGGAGAGACACGCGTCGCGCCGCGCGTATAGCGCACGCTGCACGCCGCGTCGGCGATATGCGAGCCGCGCTACCCGGCAAGACAAACGTTTTTATTACGAAAAATCAGGAGGCGAGACGAAATCTAGGACCGCGCGCGTGCGCCCCACGGCCAACTCCCTTCGGGGCGCCGCGGGAAATACCCTCGTTGCGGAGAGGGTGGACGAGGGTGGAAACAGTGGGAAAGGGGGCTCCCCGTCTGCCCCGTAAAATTCGTCCCGAACCGTACGATCCACCATACGATCCAGCCAGCCAATCCCTACTCTCTCTCTCTTTCGCTTACACCCCGTCACTAGCGCCGCTCGTGGTGGCGAGAATCCTCTCGCTCGGTCCTCTCCGTCACACTTCGTGTTTCCCTGACCCCTTCCCATCTAGCCCGCGTGAGGGGATGGTTGGGGTGTTGTCGGAAGGGTGGAGGTGTCAGGCGCCAGTCGCTGCGCGAACGCTGAGCTTGGGATTTCTGTCGTTCTCGCGATTTGTTTTTTCGATCTCTCCATCTCTTCGTTTTTGCTATTGTTTCTGTTACTATCTGTCTTTCTCTCACGTCGATCGGGATCGAGAGATCCTCTCGATGCACGTGACCTTGTCCTTCTTCTCTTTGGTGATCTGGGAAGAGGTACACTTGGACGTACAAGGGGGTGATTGTTTTCGCGTGCAGTGCTCCAGAAAAACTTGGAGTGATCGAAAGCCGGCAGTGCGTGCAGGAAGGATGTAGATCTTGTGTCTCTTGTCTGATGCGAGAAATCTCGAGGGATACTGGAAGATGCTACGTCCTCTTTGAGGATATCCACGGTCATGGCGAACGGGGTCTCGTGACGGTTCGTGAGAGGTGAGTAAACCGATCTCGATCAGTCGTTCGCGTGATCCGAACCGTCGAAGAGGAAACGTTCTGTGGAAAACACGAAGATCACGCATCTTGTGAAATCGTCGGTCCAATTCTTTTCACGAAAGATGCTGCGATCAACTTCCAAGATTGGAACATTTTCATCAAATGATTTAAATTTACTCGCACCATTGTATGGAGATTGAAAAAGTAGCATAAACCTGTTTAACGGATTGCTTATTTGATTAGGGAATTTCAGGGAGAGAGGTGTAAACTTAATTGAGAGTTTGGTTAGAAAGTTAAAGAGTGCTGTGAACTCGGTTAAGAAATTTAAAAAGGTAATGCGAATTTAATAACGAGTTTGAGTAGAAATTATAAAAGAGTGGCGCGCGCGCGAGTCTCGCGACGCGGGATTTCGTGAGCGAGGGAGGTATGAATTTAATCGCGTATTTAGAATGTATGAATTTAATCGCGAATCGGAAGAAACGGCGTGGATTTAATTGTAGCTTTGGCCTGACAAAAAAAAGAGTGGCGTAAATTAAAATGCTGGTTCACGAGCGAATTTAAAGAGTGCCGTAAATTTAATTGCGATAGGACCGTTAAAACCGTACGGACCCAGCGGGGAAGTGACAGCGTAATAATTCAGCTAGAATTTGCTGTATCCACTTAGCATGCTTGACTTTGCTCTCTCTCTCTCTCTCTCTCTCTCTCGCACTCTCTCATGTAAAATGGCGCGAGTACCATTATGCGGCAACTCTGTGGTCTCTGTTACATCTGTAATGAATCGAGTAGGCCAAATTTGTAGTTAGTCCGTTTTGTCGAAACTAATGGTAATGTTTGCGAGGGTGATGGCAGTTCCCGTTCTCGAGAACGGGAATTGCTGCCTTGTAATCGTCCACTCGGCATCCTTTATCCTATTAGTCGCTGGGATTGGCAACGGCGTTAATCTGTCGACGCGATTCGTCTTACGTCGTGATTAAATCGCCAGAATTTATATTTAATCGCAACAATCAATCTCACTATTTTAATCGATAACGTGTCACCATTACTCGACGAGGCACAGCGGCACCGTTGTCGGAATTCGCCTCTCGTAATCACTGCAGGCAGTTCGTCGCTTCTTGCTTGTCACGTCGTAACATAATCACTGCCGCGCGCGTCGCAACTGCCTCGACACCGCAATTTCTGTTGTATCACGCTTATTAATCGGCGTAAGCACCTGCCGGCTTTTTCATCGCGTTCGCGTTTCCGCACGAAATTACGAGTCGGCGGGGTCCCTCCGCGCCGTTTACCCTCGTCTCGCCGAATTCATCATCTCGCGCCGCGCAGAAGTCACGCGATACTATTCCGCATCCAGGTCATCGCATGCCCTCGTCCCCTTCTTGCCCCTTCCGTCGCCTTCGTTCGGGAGTTCTCTTCCTTTTGGACGGAAGCTCTCCTGTTGGCAACGAAAAGAAGAGCAGTCGATTAAACGAAATTAATGGCTTCGCCGCGATGTCGATTGAGGTAATTAGAAGAGAACGAGGAAGAGGATGAAGGGTGGAGGAAGGATGTGATCCGGTTTGGTGCCCACTTTTTTCGTCTCTGTGGCCGAGTGTCCTTTTTTTCATCGTCGAATGTTCCACCAGTAATAGCATCTCCGTGAAAAGTCGAATATTCGCGAGCTAGAATACGTGGAAACTGTGATATCTAGAGGTTCGTGAAATTTAGTAGTGCGATGTCGGAGCTGCAGAAGATAAAAGCTATAGGTGGGGAGTTATGGATAGGTTTTATGGCACAGATTCGCGCGCGCGCGCGCGCGCGCACGTGTAACTTGCGATTTGTAGAAGGGAGTAGCTGCGGATGTTAGATTCTCTGCGGAAGCTACGATTCGCGGAATCTAATATACGTGGCAAGCAAGATAGCGTCGGCAAGCAAAGTCTGTAAAGGTTTTGTGGAACGTAGGATTCGAAGGAAGGAATCTGCGGAACCTGGGATTCGCGGAACCCTGCTGCTGTTTGCGCGCCGATTATTCGTGGAGCTTTAAATTTTCACGAAAGCCTAGGATCTCCAGGTTTGAATTCAAGAAAGCTGGAATATGGACGATCGCGAGGTTTCCTAGAATTTAAGAGGATTGAAATCGTGGATCTTTCCCAGCGTGATACGGATGTGGGCCGAAGCGTGAAACGTGTGATATATAACGGAACTTAATCCACCTTTGTCATTCACATGCAGATGACACTATCGGCGAGTAATCCATCGTGGAAACTTCTGCGATTCATAGTCACGTGGAAAACTTTCCACTTTCGCGTGAAACGTGACGCATGTCGAGGAATCCCGCTCGATAGCCTCCGAAAAGTATATCCAACGGCTCTCAGCAAACTTCTGTACATACCCGTAACTGTTTGAAATAGTTTTGTATAAACAATATGAGGTGAGAGAGAGAGAGAGAGATAGAGAGACTAATTATAATCAATAATGAACGTGGCAATCAATGAATGTTAATGTAAACTCGATTTTTATATAGTACTGATATTTTCAATGTATCAGCATTTTAATATCGGTTGTGCGGTTACGTTTTGCAATCGTAATGTTCGAATTTTTAACAATGAATATCGAAATAAAATGAATATCGAAACTTAATATCGAAATTTTTAGTGTCAGCTATATGATCCGTCGAAAAACAACGCGATGAATTAATGTTCGGGAAATACAAAATCTGAAAATGAACATAGAGAAAATATGGAATATTATTTTTTAATAGCTTACTTAAATTCGTGTGCGTGTGTGTGTGTGTGTGTGTGTGTGTGTGTGTGTGTCTGAGATAATTGATAAAAATTCGCATTTCTTATTCGTTTTTTATTACTCTTAGCGTAATGGAATTGTCTCTTTTGAACGTATTTAATATTAGTCTGTTTAATTCGCGATGTATTACTTATGTAATTGTTTTGGCGCAGAGGTGAAAACCGAGGGTTTGTAACCCTTAGTAACCCGAGGCAGACCGACTGCGAGCGGGGTTATCGACCAAGTGGTGGTCTGGTTTTTCGGGCCGGCGACTCGGTTGTGGGGTGTCGACTTTTTCCACTTGAATTTCCGGCAGATTTTGACACGCGCAGCTGGCTGGGTAAACAGGATTTATCGATTTCTTAGTACATTCCAACTCTCTTGGTAAAGAGCCGTTGGCTATAACTGTTTTGTCTTTTTTTTTACTCGAGCTTGTTAAATAAAAAATTGATGGGGCCGATGGTAGAAGGCGCAAAATAAAGAGGGACGATTTCAGATAGAAATTTAGAAATAACTATAGGAATAACTATCGCGTACGAGGTAGGAATAACAAATTGGAAATACAATAGCGGAACGATATTGAAATCCTTTCTGATCCAACCGAGATTAAACCATAGAGAAAATGTATCCGAACAGTAATTAATACCGACGGCGTGGTAATAATTAGCATAAACAATAACCATTAATTCTAGAATGATAACTAATCAACTGTTTCGTTGGACTAGGTTAGTATTAAATTTCACTGCTTGTTCGAAGAGATAGTATTAATACTAACCGATACGGTTACATTACAACGTGTTATAGAGTGAGTTAATATACTTCGTTTATCGGCTCTTTGCCTTTCAACTCGTTCGAAACTTTTCGAACTTTCTCGGTTTCGAAATCCTAAACGAAGATAACGAAAGTTGTACAACTTTCGTAACAACTATTCCCTTTTAAGGTTGAATACGTGCGGATTTTGCGGAAAGACATCGAAAGATCGAAATGGGCAGATGGAAATCCATTTGTCGACCGGCGCGACAACATCGTCGCGATATTTTCCGGGACACCCCGTGTAGAAACCGCGAAAAATGCGGCACGACGTAAATATCCGCGTTGTTACGCCGCGCTTCTTTCACATGTAAATTTCGCAGGACGCATATAAATTGCATTGTTACACGCATTGCCAAGATTTTCCTTCATACAGGCGGGATCTCGTCGATGATATGGCAACCCTCAAAGTCGCGACCGTATTCCATTTTCACACAAATTTTGCGTCGCGAATAAAACCCCTCGTGTATTATGACACACATAATTGTCGCTGATTTCATCATTATGCAAAAAAAGTCATTTCTAGCATGGCCGATGAAGGCGATCCTTTATTATTAATTAACGTTGGATTCCCCATAATGTTAATATTAATGCTAAACTAAGAATCTTTTTTAATCCAACACGGAAATATTGCAAAACGAGAAAATATCTCAAAGAGTAGCGTATTCTTTGTTTGTATCGTGCGTAATAATTTCAGAGTCTGATGATTTCTGTTCAACCAGCAGGTCGAAAGAGGTCGGGAATTAACCGGAAAGTTCGAGGCAGGTGACGGAAATGCGGTCCGCTTCCTGTATCGAACAATCGGAACGCGGCGCAACATGCGTGACGAGCCGTTCAAAGGCACGGGCAATTTGACGCATTGTGGAGCATATGTTAAGGCCGATACCCCACCATGGACAATATATCCCTTTTCGTTCGTCACGTGTTTGCATTACATTGACTATCAATTCTTAGGAATATGTACCGGATGTTCCGCTAGCTCGTATAGCAATAGGAAGAGAATAACAATATCTCTATACGGGTAGGGAAATTAACATAGTTGAGAAAATAATATATTTTACGGTTAACGAATTTCAGTGAGGATTAATGATAATTATTTGATGTATTTGATAGTATTTGCTACCATTTGACCATAGCTTTTTTAAACATTTTTTAATACATTTTTATTTTAATTTTCATTCCTCAACACTTATTACCTTCTCAATTGTTTTCGTATCATTGCGTCGGATTGGAACAATTACACACGCATAAAGGTGGCCTTTAATTAGTCACGAACTTCCGGTACAATGCCGCCATTTTTAACGAAGCTCATTCATTACTGCGCGGCCTGCTATCAATTACAGTTCGTCAGTATTAATTGGCGGCTGCGTTGAGAAGTACGGCGGGATAGAAAAAGTTTTTTCTTTTCGAAATGATTAATTCGTCGGATATTGAAA